GCACAGGCAACAAATAAATAAATCACATGAAAAATTACTTTTGCACAAACTTCTCACCGGCAACCCAGATACTCAATAGATTCCCTTTAAAGAGCTGAGGGGCGGGGGGAGGCAAAACAAAGAGTTACAGCCAAGTCTGTCCGCATATTTCCGAGCTGCAAAAAAGATCCTTGCACATTCTGGATCAATACAATGTTCTCTGGAAATCTAATGGTGGAATATAATTTAGCCGCAGCAACACAAATAGTCCGAAAACCTAATTCATTCCTTATGTTTCAAAGTTGCTGCTCTTGGCAGATGCTGATAACACTATGATAGATTAAAGGCAATGTACTGTTCTCGGCCGAGTAAGCACAGCAAACTACATTTGCTACTCAAAACACTGAGCAGCGCTCCCCCTCCCCCCCCACCATCAGGGACTGCAATGAACAGTCTGTTCGGATATGGAACTCCAGCCTTAAAGGAGAACTATGGGGTCAGGGCTTTTCCCCATAGTTCTCCTTAGGGTAACGGGAGGACACAAACTAGCGTCCTCCCGTCACCCTAAGCTCAGTATACCGTGAGCTGTAACTGAGACGCCGCAGCCGGAGCGGATCCCGACATCGATGTCGAGATCCGCCCAGCTGCGTGAGTGACAGCTGGCTCTGCCTATCTAGAGGCAGAGCCAGCTGTACCCGCCCCCTCCCCCATCCGTTCCGGCAGTCAGCGCTGGTGGATCGGAGCGGGGGGAATCCAGCCCCTCCCCTGTCACGGCAGAGAGCCGTGACAGGATCGAGATGTGAGGGAACCCGGTATGTGTTCGCTCACCTCCCGATCTACTGAGCCGACCTGTGACAGTCTCATTGTCACAGGTCGGCTGGAACTATGAGGTGAGTGAAAAGCACCCCCTCATAGTTCTCCTTTAAAGGGTGATGTCAGACAACCTATTATACATGAATTTGATAAATAAAATGGAAGCGCTAAACTGCAGAAATATGTATTCATGACAAATAACCTTAAAAAAAAAAGAAGAAAAAACAACACATTGCGGGGTTTTTTTTTTCAGAAGGTCCTCCTTCATTAGGGCATCTGCTGAGATTGGATCTCAAACCCACGAGGTCGTATTTGATCTGTCGCTGAAAGAAGTGATGTTAGACCAAGATACAGTCTCTGCAAAGTTCGTCGAGTGGTAGCGCATTCTGTTTGTGGGTGACGGTTGGCGATTTCGGAACATTTTTGGCTCGATCGTGACAGAAATGTTAATTGTACAAAACTCGTTAGGCAGCGCATTTCTGTTTTTTACTTCTAGGTGGCAAAATCTGCTAACGCGGGTTCGCTCCGTCCTTCATTCGCCGAGGTTCCAATAGTTTTAGTGACTCGGTCCCCATTTCCTCTAAGCTTTTGTTGGACTATAAAAGGTAAAAATCCAAAATGGTTGCCTGCGACGTGTCAGGGGATCGGTAGACTTTCTCAGGCCTGAAAAATATTAAACTGTTTATTAAAGGGAAGCTTTAAGAATCTTACAGATTAAAAGCTTTAAAAGGTTGCAAGGCATTGCAAGACTGACAGCCACAGGCATGACTCCCAGAGGCAGATGCACACTGGGATTTGTAGTTTCACCACAGCTGGACGGCGGGAGTTTGCCTAACCCTGCTCTATAGTACTGGCACGGAATCAGCAGTTGATTGAAGGCAAAAGGAAAAATCATGTATCCATCAAAAAAGAAGGGAACTAAAAGGTGCCCATACACTGTGCGATTATCGGAAATCCCGCGATCGTACGATAATCGCAAAGTGTATGGAAGGCATGCAACCGTTTTTACTGTACGGTCGCACGTCTTTTGTCTTAGGAGCATGCTAGAAAACCAGCCGAGAATCGTACGATTTTCGGCTGGTTTTTAGCATGATCGTAAGATCAATGCCGCACGGGTCGGTGTGCGCACGCGCACACTGCCCGTTCAGCATTGCGGTCATCGGAAGCCTGCCCCTCAGGGGGGCGGGCTTGCGATGATCGCAAGTACGATTTGCATGTCCAAGATGGGCAGATCGTACGTTTTTTAAATTACTTTACAACCATCGCAAGACAAAGGTCTTGCGATGGTTGTAAAGTGTATGGCCACCTTAAGAGTCTCAGCAGGGAGCTTAGCTCCTTGCTATGCGACACTAGGTTATAAACTGGGTGGGGTTTGCCACCAGCAAGAGTTGACCCTAGGCTGTGCTTTTGTGTTTGTACGTAGAATCCTACTCCTGCAGGTGGCACTATAACTCAACAGTTGAGATCTTCAAGAGCTCCGCTGTGTCCTTCAATGAACAGAAAGGAAAGCTTGATTTAAAAAGTTGTAGTATTATAATTTAAGAATCAATATTCACATTCTAATCAAGACCGGTACCGACTTGCAGACAGAACTGTTTCAGGTTCTGATACTCATCAGTGCAGGGCTGCCTGTTCCGGTCTGCTACGCACCAACGTAGATGCTACAATGTATTCTAGTGACGTGCACAAGGAACAGGATTTCCTGGACTTCTATTATAAGTTTCTACATATGACAGTCCTTTTTGATTGTAAGCCTCCTAAACTGGCTCTTATGTAGTTATGCGAGTTAAAACATATCCTTGTATATCCTTGTACGTTCAGTACTGTACAACATGCAGCCACTATATAAATTATAGATAAACGCCAGTCAGCAAAAAAAAAAAAAAAGAC